CGCACTAAACAATCCTTCATCCATCAGGGACCCAATCTCGGGTGGGGGTGATGATATCTCCCCCTGACCCCTTACCGTAGCATGTGTGTTGTAGTCCCTAGCCATAAAACCACCTACAGCTCACTTCTCATCAGGGTGCCCTGGTTCCTCAACACCTGACGCGGACCTTGTTGATCCATTATGACTTCATAGTTATCTCTCTGCAGTAGGCTTGCTTAGCGTGGGGGGGGGGGGACCCCTACTGGATACAGATGCCTCAGGTGGGAATTAGACTTGTAACTCCTGCTCCCAAGGCATGTAGTCATACTACTATTCTATCCAGCTGTCTGTGTGTGTTAGAATGTATCTAAAAATAAAACATTTTTTAAAGAAATATGAAGTAGCATCCTGAAAAGTTGGATCATGGATTAAAGACACCGCAGCATCGTGCTGTCTAACAGAAGGTGTTCGGTGTTTCCTGTCAGCAGCAGTGTTATTTTGTCCCACTTGGATGACCTGACCTGGTGGACGAGCTGTTTTTAGTCTGCAGCCGCGTCAGAGTCCATCCTGCTGACCTGTAAGCTGCTTTTAACCAGATAAACTAAACAAGGTTAATGACCTGCTGAGTTAGGAAACTAAACAGACCTGCAGAGCTCATCTTCACACATTTAATTCAATGAATCCTCTTTAATTCAGTGTATTTGTTCTTTTATTACCCCTTTATTATTTTAATTATTTTATTATTATTTTTATTAGTCAATGAGGTTCTTTTCTGAGTGTCATTCTGTCTGTAAACATGAGAGCTCAAAAAGCTGTAGGTGGATTCAATAAAACTTCGGTGTCCAGAGGAGGGTCACGTTAAAAATCCATTAAAATCTGGCTCACGTCCTTCAAGCTCTTCAAGGTCAACTCATTGATTTGTTGATTGAAAATGGACAAAAAGAAGTGATTCTTACACGTGTAGCATTTACTGTCAACTTATACATTAGAAAGTAGTGTGTAAAGATTGTAAGTGTGACCTCTGACCTCTCCTTTAAGGTCAGTATATTGATCTGAAGGTCACAGCTAATAAAAAAAATTTTTTTAAACATTTATTTATTGGTTTTAACCAGTTTTACATGGTGCACCGTGAGCAAAAAATAAAAAATAAAAATAAAGAAAATAAAATAAAGAAAATAAAATAATAATAATAATTTTAAAAAAAGTAAAAAGTAAAAAAAAAATAATAATAAAATAAATAAATAAAAACAAAACCACAACAACAACAGAAACAACATAATAATAGAAACAAAAACAAAGCAAACCATAACATAATCATAATTCTACTCAAAATGATGTCGGGTATATATGAACTGATGAAGTATTCGAGGAAGCACTGAAGCCTTTTTCTTTGTATTTTAAGCAGCAGCTGGTGTTATGACTGAACACCTCAGGGTCACTTCACTCACTCAAAGCTTCATAATTAAAACCAGCTATTCCACCACATCCTTTTCTCCCTTTTAACCTTTTTTCCTCCCGAGAGCAAACGCTCCATTTTAGCTCTCTCCCCTCCAATGACAAAAAATCCAACTATGTTCTGGATTAAAGGAGAGCAGATACATAAAGGAAATCAAACTCACGTCCCTTCATTTTATTAATTCAGTTTGCTTTTCTGTTTCAATGTTGGCTCAAATATATTTGTTGGTGATTTCAATCTTAATTATAATTAAAATAAAGCAGAGCAGTGGTTCTTCATGCTGAGACTGGCTGATTATTAGAAGCAGAACTAATCTAATGCAGTTAAATCTCAACGAGGGAAACGCGTCTGGCTGTGCACTCACAGGAGGCTCAGCCATGAACAGCTGTGTGCTTAATGTTTTGGGGTTCCTGCAGGGACAGTATTCATTTTGAAATAGTCGTTAAGTTCTGAAAGAAAAGGTTTGTGACTATAAATACACATTTTCCCTTATTTATCTTTGTAATGATCTTTGTAATGTGAAATGACCTGCTAGTGCCAGAGGATGGCAGTATTGCACCTAGAAGCCATTTGTCAAAGTTTCACACAGAAAACCAATATTTATTATTTTATATTATTATTATTATTTCTGTTATCTTCTATTTTATATATTTAGATTGTTGACTAGTTTTCACATTTGGACTTTGACCCTGAAAAATGTCAAACCTGAAGCAAACTTGGACTTTTTCTTTTTTTTCTGCAGGAGGAGTCCATTGAGGAAGTGATCAAAGACACGGAGTCTCTGTTCAAATCCAGAGAGAAGGAATACCAGGAGACCATCGACCAGATCGAGGTGAGAAGGTCAGGTGCTGTTGGCCCTGCAGCTGTGAATGTGGACGTGTTAAATAAGGGAAGAAGGACAGTGAGCTGGAGGCAACTGCTGCAGGGACCTGCCACACATCGCCTGCATGCGTTTCCCCCTCACTGTCCAAAAGCTAAAATAACCACAACTAAAACTTAAAAAAGAAAAGACAGAATAAGATCTTAAAGTTAGCAGCAGCCATGAAACAGCAGTGGGAATGTCAACATTTCTGCCTCTCTGTGCGTCTTCAGCTGGAACTGGCCACAGCGAAGAGCGACATGAACCGCCACCTGCACGAGTACATGGAGATGTGTTCAATGAAGAGAGGCCTGGATGTCCAGATGGAGACCTGCAGGAGGCTCATCACACAGAGCGGAGAAAGGTAACACACACACACACACACACACACACACACTATTAGATTCACTGGTTGTGCTCGTTTATATGACCTGTGCAAAACACCAGGCTAGAGCTCATGGTGAACAAAGATCTGGGTATTGTAGTTTTACTATGGCAGACGTCCAGTGTCATGGTGTTAGTGTGAGCTAGTTCAGATTCTCAGCACGCCGATCTTCTCTTTTCCAAAGTCATAACTTCCCTTTCCCACCTTTCTTTGGTGTTTCCATCAAGGGCAAAAAAGAGATTAGGAGATTGGTGGCACGTTTGGAACGTATCCATAGAAATGACAGATGCTGACTTCTGGTTGGACAGCAGCAATACCAGACTCATTTTTATTGGGTATACATATTTAGGGAGGATGTTGGTATTGCACTGCAGTCTTTTTAGCATTGTGCTGCTAATAAACTAGGAACTAAGCGTGTCTTGAACTTTTTCCCCCTCATATATTTAAGCTTTAAAATCTGTGACGCCTTCACGATGATAAAGAATATTATGTACTGTGTTTATGAGAAGCTGTAAATAAATATCAGCCCTCTTCCTGCAAAACTATGGTTTCTACAGGACTGTTAATCTGCCGTCCTGGGATGAGATATCAAAATATTTTCAAGGAACTCAATAATCTGTCATTGTGTTTGATTCAGCTCCACTCCTGAGGGTTTATATTCAGAGAGCAATAATACCAATTGGCTTGAAGGACCTGGTCTCTACCTTCATCCTGAATTTTGGGGGACCTGAAATTTTGCTGGTAAGGTTTGCTCAGGCAAACCTGCGACGGTCAGGTTGGGTTTTTGATGAGCTGACAAGGAAAGGCACAAAAAATATCTACCAAGGGTCACAGGGAGGGCAGCTTTTTGTAATTTACCTGCATTAACTTCATTCCTCATCACAGGAAGTCCACCTCGCTCATCTCGCTGACGGTGGATGACTCTGACAGTGAGGAGAAGGACAGGAAGAAGCCGGCGCTCCCCTCCGACTCGGAGATCAGCGACTCCTGCTGCGGCGTCAACGCCGCCATCCCACCTCTGACCTGGAGGAAACCCTAACAAACGCTTCCTCTGAGGAAGAACAATGCAGAGCTTCCACACGTCTAAAATCATGTCTCTGTGATTTCTGTCACATTTTAAGTCTCCAGTGTGATTTTTACTGATCGTAAAGTCAGGCCAACATGGCAGCCGGAGATTCAGAGCCAAGCGTGGAGGTTTTTACTGCTTTATGAGGAAGAAGAGCTTCTCCTTACTGATGAACCTGTAGTTTGTTTGCAATATTAGTTATAGTATATGAAGTCATTTTAATTATAAAAGCCGCAATAGTAATAGAGTGTGTGCGAGTGCTGCCCTCACATGGTTACCAGCTGTAACTGCACATCTGGAGGTCAAAACAAAACTTGACTGCACTTTAAAGAAAAGATGAGATGCCTGTGAGCTGCATTATTGTGTTTGCACAGCGAGCTCACCAAAACTGTTGTTTGTAAAATGTCTCTGACGCTGCAGGATTAAAAGGACGCACATACAGGCTGTAATGCAGAAAGAAAGCAGTTTGCACAGCTCGCTGTTCCTGCTCTGTGTTAAAGTGCAGTGGTTTTATATTACACTGACGTTAGCAGCAGCTTCAAAATGTTAAAGCTCACGTTTAATTTGATTCTTTGATTATTTGTAACTGTAAAGACAAAAATCCAGTGAAAGACCAGCTCGCCTTAAACAGATTTCCAGGACTTTTTTTTTGGGGGGGGGGCATTTTGAAGGTTTGACCTTCACAATATTTACCTTACAGAAATCTTACATAGGTTTATTTATATGCACTTCTTCTTGAATTTGAAGTTTCTGCCAGTATGCTTTGTGGTTGTTTGTTTGTTTGTGGCTAATAGACATTAGCTTATGTTAGCTAACTAGTGACAGAATCGTTAACTGCGGGGAAAATAATAACATTACAAATTTAAAATGACAAAAATCAGTTTAAGGGGATCACATTTGGGCTGCAACAATGAGTTTGTTGTTAAGAAACTGTGTATATACTGTCCACTTTCACTGTCTGTGTCTTTAGTAGTAAGTCGCTATTCGCTGTTTGGCTAGCAGCCAGCTGTTAGCCATACTGTTCTGGTTTATAAAGCACTTTAATAAATCGGGACAGTGTGGAGGAGAGCCTGTTTGAGTCACCAGACTCACAAGCTGAAGTTCACACTAAAGCCTTCACTTTTCCTCACTTTTAATATGAAGTAATCCAGTCAGTGAGATGATGTGAGGAAAACACATAAGGTTTCAAAAAGCGCTTTATAAACCCGAACATTGCGGCTAACAGCTAGATTTTTCCGTTTGAGTGCAGCTAGCCAATCAATGAAAGCCAGTTACTGCTAAAGAGACAGAGGATGAAAGTGGTAACATCAGCCGTGATATTTGAACAGATTTTGATACTGTGTAGTAATATACATGTAGTAATATAGATAATTTGGGCTTTTTGTAAGCTTTTGTACAGTTGTGGTTTCAGACCTCTCTCTCGCCTCCAGATCCATTTCAGTTTGAAAACATCGAACAGGATCGGTTTGACAGTGTAAATGCCAGTTAGATTTCTCACATTTTCTACAGATGATGTGGTGCTAAAAGGTAAACTCTTATATTATGACAGTAATACTACTTTAAAAAGCAGGTTAAATCACAGTTAAACTGATTTATTGTGGAAATGCCATTTTTTAAACCTCGGTCTTGAAGCAATATTTTTTACGTTAAATAATGTGGCAAAATGTACATTTCCACGTATTTTGGTGTCTGTGTTAAGATTCTATCAGGAATTAGTTCAGTATTTTGGGGATAACGTTAAAATGGACCTAAACAAATGCTCACGTGAAACATGTTATTAAATCAGGGCGTCCACGTCCCCACAGGACAAAAGTTTAGACTGACAGTTTTTTTTTTCTACCCATGGATCTGTATGATGTCATAGAGAGAGGATATCCTGATACCTCCTACAGAAGCTATCACACAGTTCACAGTTTAACTTGTATGTCTTTTTATGAGGGGCAGCCAATCAGAAGAGGGTTGGCTAATAGGGGGAGGAGCTACAAGAGACAAATAAGGATTATTATCAACTGAATTATGCAAAGCTACTCTAACATAGCCCAAGAATAACAAATACAGAAAAAGGCCCCCTTTAATCTTACACTTCAGGTAACACTCCCTTATTTTATGTTATTTATTCTTAATACTGTTCATTAACAAGGCAATAATAGGTGTAATTTTCAGGGATCGGGAGGTATTTTGTCTTAAAGATGAAGATGCCACATTAGGTGGGACATACACGAGGATCAGTCACTCTGTAGTTTATTTTTCTTGCCAATATTATAATTCACTAACCTGAAATCCATTATTATTCCCACACAGCCCTGCTCTTAAACCTCTGACACATCTGTAATTTCGACTGAGTTAATTAAATGTAAATATGTATTTTAGGGACTCTGTGTACAGTTTGTAAAGGACAAACACTGTAATTAATGTACATACCAATGCTGAAGTTGTACTGCTGCTGGAAGCTTCGTGGTGTAAATTTGGCTGAAACGATTCATATTTTTTACTTTATTTTTGTGGGGTTTTGTGGCCTTGCTGTTGCTCTCAGCTAAATCAGACCTAATGTTAGTGTCTCAGCAATAACGCCCGCATCGGTGTAAAGTAAGAAAAGTCGAGCAAAAAGGCCTCCAGATGTGACTCAAAGCAAAAAGAAACAAACGTGTACAGGATGCTGCAGGAAAAGAGTCCTCATCACAACTTTAAATATGACCGTGCTTCTGTCTTTGCTGATGCTTTGAATGTTTTTGAATGTCATCACATCTTTGATTACTTGAATGTCTGCTTGTTAAGTAACCGGCCATATTCACCAGAGAAAAAACAGACCCATTAAAGGAACAGTCTGACCTGCAGTTTTCTTCACTGAGCGCATCAAAAACATCCAATTTAAAATCGTTGTTCTTTTATGTGATCTCAGTGCAGGGAGAGAAAAGAGCAAGGAGTCATTTTGTTCCTTTAATGATGAGAAAACAAAGCAACAAACTGCTATCGTTCAACTTCAAAGCAAAGCTTTCACTCACCGTAGGAAACAGTGCAGACGCTCCGTTAGCCGAGCGCTTCGTATCTATATTATCTGAATGTAAGTGGAATCTGTGGAGAGAAACGTGAATTTAAAGATTTCAGGAAACAGAGGAATGAAAGTGTGACTCGGATGAAAAAGAAAAGGCAAATAATGGAGCTGAAGGATGAAGCCGTTTGTAGGGAAACCTATGAACGGAGTGTTTGAGCTGTCGGGGGTTCAGGTTTGAGTGGTGCACAGAGCTGTATGTATGTTTGATGAAGAGATGAGCAGAATAAAATACTTTGAAGAAACGTAATTCTCTGGTTTTGTTCCCATGTAGTCACTCTGTTCACTCATCAATGAGAGGTTTTGTTTTAATAAACTTCTACACAAACAAACTTTACATATTCATATAAAAAAACTTCATCAATTCAAAAAGCTCGAGAAGTTTTTTAAACTTCCTCTTTTGTTCTGATCGACTCTCAGTTCGAAACTTGTCTTTCACTCTGTTTGTTCTTCCATTTAGAGGAAGTTTTAACATCACTTTATTATCCGCTGCAACATTTGGTGTTTTTTCTGGCTGTTCGTGTTAGTGAACAGAGGAGGTGCTACAACACCTGCATTCATCATCCACAGAGCCTTTTACAGATGAAAGTCACATCCTGACACCCTGATCTACATGATGGCAGCAGCTGGTCACAACCTCACCAGAAAAAACCTGGTTTCTCCTTCAGGTTTTAGATCTGAAGAAGCGTTTTGGATGAGACGACTTCTTTTGATCTAATTTGCTTACACGAGTCTGACCTCAGTGTCTGATCTCAGTGGATTAACTGGGCAGGAATGACATGTATTCAAATTAAACACTAATCAGTTGTATAGAGAAGCACACGCTTAAAAAATAAATGCTTTGTATTCAGATTAGATTGTTTCACTCCTTCAGAGACGTTGCAGTTTCTCTTTACAAGCCCAAAGTTCAAAAGCAGGCTCCACTCGTGACTTGCTCTTTTTCTTCGTGTTTGCCATTGCAGAACTTTTCCATTCAAAATAAATCAATCAAGTTGAAATTATTCTAACAACTATGCACTACAATACTGTGCAGTGTGCACAAAGTCCGGGGGGGTACAGAAACCAGTGGCGATGAAGGTAAAAATGACCCATTTTAAAGTTAAGAAATCACGCAATTTTCCTGAAGAGTGACAAAAAAGGTAAAACAGCCACTTGAAAATCTAAACCCAACATTTTCGACTTTAGAAAAATGTGAAAAAAAATCGGAAAATGCAGAAAAAGAGGGAAGTTCTGCCGCACAGTGTGAGTAAAAGCGGGAAAATGCATTTAAATACTCACATAAAGACGCTGAGGACAGAAAACACCGGATAACTCGCTGCAGTCAAACCAAACAGAAGCAGCAGGAAACAGTTACCTCACCTGTACGTCTGATTAACGGAGGGGGCGTTTGATTTTCACCTCTTTGCTCAGTATTGGTCAGGTGACAAACCACGCTACCTTCAGCTAATAGAACATATAACATATTTGTACAAAGGGAACATAACTGTGGCTGTATCCCAATTCAGGGTCTGCAGCCTCAACGATCCTCAAGGGCCGCGTAC